TTTTTTTGGTGGAACCGGGGATTGAACTCAGGTTCTTGTGCTTGCCAGGGAAGCACTTATTCCACTGAGCCATCTCCCCGGCCCTTATATTTCTCTCTAGAGAGCTTTACTCATGGAAATTTATGAAAAATGTTCCTCATTTCTTTTTCCCTTTTATAAAACCACTACTTCAAGATTCAACTCAAACACCATTTTTTTCAGAGAAAGTTTTACTCTTAGACCAAGCAAAATATCCTTACAGAGCCAGTATAATACACTTGTAATCAAAGCACTAAGGAAATTGAGGCAGGAAGATCATTGCAAGTTTGAGACCAGCATGGGCTACAAAGTGAGTTCAAGGTCACCCTGCACTGCACAGCAAAACCTTGACCTTAAAAAATAAAAAATCCAGCAAATTTCCTTAGCACATTTCCCACTTTAGTAAGCCTCATTACATTTTAGCTATATTCACTTGAAGAAATTCTAAGCCAGGAGAAGGCACGACTATTATTCACCACTACCTAGACCTAGCATACAAGCACTCTACAAAGATTGGCTAGGTGGGCAAATTATACCTGATAGCTTTTACCTAAGGCACAAACATTCCTAGGGATGAGTAAACTAGCTCAAGAAAGTTCCTCTCCTGACCATTTGAGATAAGGAAAGCAGTCATAGCTTTCAAACTACCACTTCAGTTACAAACACTAGAGAAATATCTCATTTGTTAGGTACCAAGTATCTGATATAGTTTCACCAACCAAAAAGGTTTAAAAAAAAAAAAAAAAAGATTTTTTTAAAAAGAACTTACCAAAATATTTTTCTTATGTCGTTTCTCTTTTATATGTTTATGAGCTCCCTGGATGTTTTCAATGTGAATTAAGCAAAGTTTGCATAAGTATCGACAATTGGTATACTCTGGTGATCGCTGAAGAAACAAGTTTGAAAATGCATTATTTTCAGAAAACAAAGGAGAAAATTATTGATTATAGTGGAAAATGCCATTATATAAATACAAGTCAGAAAGCGCTGAGTTAAATTTTTAATAAATCAGTACTTACATACCAACATAGTTGTCCTTAATAGTTACCACAGGAAATCACATATTAATTTCAAACAACACAATAACATTACCAATAAAAAAAAAAATCTGCCCTCAGTATGAATTTCAAAATAGATTACAAATATGGAAGATAATTTCAAAAGCTGAGTTCTAAAAAACACTCCAAATTAATCACAATATCATGGGAATAAATGTTTAACATCTTCAAGTAACTACTCTGAAGGGAACTGACAATTCTGGCACATGAAAGTATCAGTCACAGTATTTAACTCAGTATTATATATATTATGTACTCTCAATTAAAGAAACACTAGTTACTGACTGCTTCTAAGGGTCAGGAACTATTTTAGTTGTTTAATATACATACAATCTGTAGTTTTAATTTCCCTAGTAATCCAGTAAGATTGGTATTATTTTCACTCTAGAGTTAGAAACAAAAGCCCGTAAAGCTTACAACTTTCACAAGGCTACAACAGTATTAACTACTCAATACTGAATTCATACATATATGAATCCAAAGCCAACAAGACTGAACAATACAAAGAGATTTTTTTTTCAGTATCAGTACAGAGGTGCCTTGGTTCATAAACACTTTTATTTGTGAACAAGTTAGTTTGCAAACAGAAGCATTTGGTAAATTTGGTTTTATTCACAAACTCTACATTGGGTACTAAACACAACTGAGGTCATCTTTCCCAGAATCGTCAAACAAATTAAATTCATAAACCGAGGTACCACTGTATTTTGTCACAGAGATAAAAAGCTAACCAAACATTTGTGTGCATATATTTTTAATTCACTGTGGGTTTGTTTTTGGTTTTTTTGCAGAACCAGTGATCAAACTTGGGACCTTATGCTTGCTAGGCAGGTGCTTATGCTGCTAACTATATTCCCAGTCCCAAGACTGAACAATATAGGGAATACAAATGTAGCTTAATGATGAAATGCTTGCCCAACATGCATGAGGCACTAGGTTCAAAGCCAAACATCAGAAAAAAAACTACACTAATATAATGTATAAATATACAATAAATGCTTACTTTTTTTGCAATAGGGTCTCACAAAGTTGTTACATTGCAAATGCTTTAGATATTTAACTTTATTTTTTTTTCTTTTTTTTTTTTTTTTTTTGCGGAACCAGGGATTGAACTCAGGCCCTTGCGCTTGCCAGGGAAGCGCTTACTCCATTGAGCCATCTCCCCAGCCCCTAGATATTTAACTTTAAAACAAGGTTTCTAATACCTTAACCAGAAACTTAAGCTATGTTTAGTTTTTATTTCACAGTGATCTTCAGTATTCAATAGGCTTCAGCTCCTGGAAAAAGTAATCTCTGACCTAAAAGTATACAATTTTCTTTAAACTGGAAATATGCCCCAAAATTTAAAAAAGAAAATTCAACATTTCTAAAAATATGTGCTAACAATACAACAACCCTATCAGGTTCTCCATTTTCCTGGCAAAGAACTGTATCTCAGGAACTTATGAACTTACTCAAGGCAACAAGAAAATAAATTTAGCTCAACCTAGTCATTCCAACTGTTATAAATTTTTTTTCAAGTCAACTTTAAGACAATTGATTAAACCACTGAAGAGAATGCTACCTCTTCAATTTGCAACCCAACAATTTCTTTATTCACTTAAGTATTTTCTGTGCTCACATTATATATCAAACACTTTTCTAGGAACTGCAAATAGCAATAAATAAAACAAACAGAAATCCCTATATGTATGAATTTACATTTTGTATTTAGGACAGGGTATACAGGGTCTCACTACATAGATCGGACTTGTAGAGATCCTCCTTTTTACAGCCTCCCAAGTGTTGGGATAACAGGCATGTGCCACCACGTCCAGTTTCAATTGCTGTCTCATTTTGCCCCAGGGGCGGGGCCAACACAACAGGCCAGGGGATCAAACTCCTGACCCCTGTGTCTGCCTAAGCAGGCGCTTTAATCCGCTGAGCTATTTGGCCAGTCCTTGAATGCCTAATGTGGCAAAATGGGTAATAAGTAAATAAGTACACAAACAAATGAATAAGAATGAGATAGAAGAGTTACTGCTACTTCAAAATACAGTCATCACTAAAGCCCTTGTTTTGTCTGTTCAAAGTTTTGTTCATAAAAGTGATTTAGAGAAGCACAGTCTTTAGCTGTATGTATGGTATTTGGGACCAGAAATTCTAACCAGAGGAAAGTGAATTATAAGGCAGGCCCTAAGGCAGAAATGTACCTAAAATGCATGAAAAAAAATACACAACCTCTAATATGCCTAGAAGAAAATACAACAGGGGCCAGATCACAAATGTACTTATGAGAACTTGGCTTTTATTCTAAATATGAAGGAAACCTAAAGGAGCTTTTTGTAACAGAAATGTGTAAGATCTAAATTTTAGAAGGATCATTTGCCTTTAGTCTTAAAAATGGAAAGAAAACCTGATTATAGTCCTCAGCATACTATAATAATCCAGATGAGAGAGAATGAGATAGTAGACGTAGTAAAACAGTTGGGAACTTATACAGCCACCAAGCATGGAGGTACATGCATATAATCCCAGCAATTGGAAGGCTGAGAGAGGAGGATCCTTATGCTTTTTTTTGTACCAGATTTCAAACTCAGGACGCTGTGCTTGTCAGGCAGACCCTGTGCCACTGAGCTATGGACCCTCCTTATGCATTTGAGGCCAGTGTGACTACATGGCAAGTTTAAGACCAGTTTGAACTATATAGTGAGACCTTACTTCAAAAATTAAAATAAATAAGAGCTATACACCTGCCTAGGCAAGCACAAGGACTTAGGTTCAATCCCCAGTACCATATGCTGTGCAGGTCCCACCACAGGCTCACCAAGCAAATCACCAAGACACCAAGTGGGCTTGTTGATATACCCCTTTAATTCTAGCCCCAGGGAGGCTTAAAACAGGAGGATCACTAGGAGTCCGAACTGCACAGAAAGACCCTATGCCAATATAAAATTAAGATAAATAAATAATAAGAGCTATATTAATGGAGTGTAACTAAAAGAGTCATGAAATCAATCATATACAATTTTAAATTATAAAAATTTTAGTAAACAAGGATGTGTCTAAATTCTTTCATTAAAAAAGGCTTGGCCAGGGCTGGTGAGATAGCTCAGTGGTCTAAAGCACCTACTTAGAACAAGCTTAGCAAAGCATAGGGACCACAGCTCAATCCCCAGCACCACATGCCAGCCAGCCCCGCCCCCTGATGGGCTGAGCTGGCCACACACACACACACACACACACATAAATAAATTTAAAAAAAAAAAGAATTTAAAAAAAAAGGCTTGGCCAGATGTGGTGGTGCATGCCTACAACCCCAGTACTCAGGAGGCTGCAGCAGAAGGATCTAAGCAAGTTCTGGGCTACAAAAGTGAGCTCAAGGCCAGCCAGTCTGAACTGCATAATGAAACCCTGTCTCAAACAGATCAAAACAAA